ATGTACAAATAGGAGTACCTACGGATCTCCCGCCCAAACATTTATTCCACAATTAATACGATGTTATCTGGATGAATACAAATGGATGTGAATTCAGATTTCAAGACCCTGGCAACATTATAATCTTGTGAATGCAATATTTGACACTAAACAGATTAATTTTATACCTAGGTATATGTTTTACCATTAAATAGGAAAAACAGATTAATTAAGGTTCTTGGCTATTTGATAAATGTTTCAATTGAATTTTATAAAGCTATATATATAAACATAGTAATATAAGTATACACTTACATTAYAACATACTATGGAAAACTACAATACATTTAATAGATCACTAGATCTGCAGTWGTAGATACGCCCTAACGTGAGGGACCTGTGAATAGTATTTATTATATAGGTGTTTTCTCTTAGCGCGTCAACCTCTTATATTCCTTTGGAAACCATAGTGAATAGTGATGAATTTCGGATCGGAAATAATGAGATTTGTCACGATGCCGTGGTCCTCGTGCCATTCAATTGGATTGATTTGATGATTTTCAATCAAATCGTTTTTGCGTACTTGTCCTCGTGTGTAGTCAAAAATAAAATTTTAGTTTTATAATTTCTAAAAAAAACTATACAAACATTGAACTAAATTTCTCACTAACTTTTAATTTGGTTGCGTAAATGGTAAATCGTATAACTTTTTATTTTTAATATTATGACGGCACTACTTCGTATATAGAATTTACCATACACTGCTATTAGGTATAGACAGAACTAGGGTGTTCCACTGTTCCACTAGGATTTACTAGTTAGGTTAGGATTATTTGCTTATTCCCAGAATGATGGTATCTTAAAACATTACACTATAATAACTGCAGCAGTTGCAGGACGCGTTAGATTTTAGATCGATCGATCATCGTGTGATGGGAACAAGGACGTGTGTGTGTGTGTGTGTGTGTATGTTATTATATTATTGGCGAGGAAACGCGTTTATAAACCGGTATTTTTCTGCCGGTCCAGGATCGCAGATGCAGCGATGACAGAAGTCTCAGCACGAAATTCACCCCCGAAAACGTGACGGTCAGACCGGGGTCTGCGGAAGGATTCCTGGACATTTCGGGAGGTGGATACTTGCACGTGGAAGGCGAACGTTTCGACGGCGGCCCGTTCGACCGGGTGAGCACCGTGAACGCGGACGACAATCTACTGCGACTAGAGTCGTTCTATACGTTCAAGTCCGTCCGGCGACTGAGCCTGCGACGCAACCGTTTGACATCRGTCAGACCGTACGTGACGATTGTTTTTCTTTTCGATTTTCATAAGAGATTATAATATTAGCGGTAGGGAATTTATTTACTCTTAAAAACGAGCAAAAYAGCCATTTATAATATGGTCTACAATAATTTATACAAACAATATTTTAAAAGTTAGTTATTAATTTCAATTAATAATATTCAAACAACAGACGTAAGTTTCAAAGTTAATATGAGATATAAGCGGTATATATAGGAGATATAGAGTTCATGCGTGGGCAATCGTGTCATGCACGAAGATGAAATTTTATACTGATTAGGTGTATGAATATAAAATTTAACAATAACTATTCGTGCTAGAATTACAACTAGGGGACTAGGGAGCATAAACAATCACCCGAAATGTCAAATTACTGAGATTTTTAATTATTAAAGAATAAATCATAGTAATCACACAACATATATTCGAATTTCAAATGTAGCATGCAGGTAAAGAAAATGTTAATTAAATTGTTATGGTTAACTGCGATTTTGTCAGAAGTTTGTATCTATATATATCATACATTATACACAATATGTAAACCACTTGAGTGTCTCGTTGTGTCGACTTCGTAAAAAAATAGTATYTTTTGATTTCTATGAGTACTTTTTGTACATTCAGTTGGCATTCGATCGTGATTTTTTATTATCGCTAGTGTCGAATACTGGATTTATCAAATGTTATTGACAAATGATGATGACATTAACATTATTATGGGAAAGAAACATTTTTTTACGTTATGTCAAGTAGTGGTTTTTTCCCATAATATATAAAATTTCAAAATAGAATTATTTATGAAAAATGTATTTGATCGTTTTATTTTTATTTTTAGATACATGTTTAAAATTGCAACAATCCAATGTTAATAATCTTAATAACGAACAATTGTAWTTGGTATAATGTATTTGTTTGAATGAATGACATTTAATTCCGTCATTTTGTGATGACTAACGCCTGAATTTATTAAATTGTTCTATAATCAGATATAATATTTGAATAACTTTTTACACGCTATAAAATTATAAATTTTCTTTAGTATTGACGGTGATTTGGCAGAAACATTAATACGTCTAGACGTTTCAGAAAACCAACTGAATCCAGATGATATATACCGCTTATCTACGTCAAAACTAGAACAGCTTTATATGTTGGCCAATAATCTGACGGATATCCCCGAGAGCATTACAAATTGCCATTGCTTCTTGTTGCTTAAACTTCTAGACTTGAGTGACAATTATCTGTCATGTCCCAGGACGTTCAATATGCTGTCGACTCTGCACAATTTGCAAGTATTGATCTTGAGCAATAATCGAATATCCTGTATACCCTATTTGATAATAAATCAGGTACAATATTAATATATTATTATTATATATGTATTGTTGCTATATAAATACCTATTACTGTTAT